TGTTGTTACTGTGTCTGGCATATCGAATACTCTCGGTAGCTCGCCGGGCTCTCCGAGAGGGGCGGAGGAATCGAACTCGCGTTGGCCATGTTGGCCGCGTGTAAGGCGAACGCCCTACCCGCTGTGCTATCGATTCCGAAGAGATGGCTCAAAGGACTCGAGCACAGGCATTGTTTGCATTCCTAACGCCACCATGTGGTCCCCCGAGCACTGCTGGGTGAGACCCCTTCCCTAACAACACCTAGCACTGCTGAGTGTGTCTCCCAACACACACACGCACACACATGCACACACATACACACACAAATACTCCTCCAGGGGAAGAAAATCACTTATCTCAAATACACAGAAAAAAGAGTAGGTTTTTTTTTTTTTGCTTTTTGGGTCACACCTGGTGATGCATATGGGTTACTCCTGGCTCTGCACTCAGGAGTTACTCCTGGCGGTGCTCAGGGGACCATATGGGATGCTGGGAATCGAACCCGGGTTGGCCGCATGCAAGGCAAACACCCTACCCGCTGTGCTATCTCTCCAGCCCCAAGAGTAGTTTTTTTTTTTTTTAATCTCTCTGGAGACTTAGGATATAGGACATTTTGTGATAGAGTTGATTTTTGTGTGTGATTCCCACCCTGCCCTTGCCCCCCACTGCCTGAGATACTTGGGCTGTTTCTGACTCTGCAGCCCTGTGCACAGTCCTTTGGCCTATCTCACCTGACCCCTTACATGGGATTTGGAAGAATTAAATATAAACTTAACAGATGAGAGTGATAACCGGAACAATAAATGCAAGAAGCATGAAGGCATATAGGAACATGATTGTCTATCAGACTACTTTGTATTCCTTTCTTCATTTCTAAAATCAGGATATCAAAGTAGCTAATTCACAACATTGTTAAATTAAATGTTCAAAATCACTAAGAACACTATTGTATGCATGGTAAGTGCTAGATAAACCTAGATCTCCCTATCACCACCACCACCATCATCTCATCAACTTAGTTGTTGATGAAATCCTTCCTTTCACCAAGTATTGGGCTAAAGTTTATGCACCAGGGATAATAGGATGCTGTCTACTCCACAGCCTCTGTTACCTGTCTTGCTTACCTAACTTAATTCTCTCAACAACCTACAAAGAAGAGTGCTATCACGTAAACTGAGGCTCAAGGAGGTTAAAGAACTTGTTCATGCCATGGATTTGATTACATTCTTTTCAAGTTTTTTTAGTGTGATGGGAATAATACTCAGGGCCTCACATGATGTACTATATCACTGAGCTACAGCCCCAGCCAGGACATAATTGTTCATATTAGAACTGAAAATTAGAATAAGGGCTGGGGAGAGTGTACAGGATATAAGGCCTTTACAGCAAGCCTTTGTATGGCCTAGTTTGATCCCTGGCATTACATGTGGTCCCCCAGAATGACCAGGATACATGTGGTCTGCCCCAGAGGTAAATCTTGAGCCCAGAGCCAGGAGGCCCCTGAGTATATCAGGGAGAGGCCAAAAATATTCCTTATCTTCATCTCCCCTAGGGGGAGGGGGAAATAAATCAATGAAAGAAGGTCCTTTGTCAGTGTTTGGGAGCCGCATACACCTTACAGTGTGGTTAGGGACCTCTCCTTGCCTGGGAACCACCTGTGGTGCCAAGGGTTGAGATGGGGTTGGCTGCATGCAAGGCCAGCACCTTAACCTCTGCACAGTGTCCCTAGTCCAAGTGCGGCGTCTGTTGATTTGAATTGTCCGTGCTCTCCTTGACTGGCGGCTGGTGGCAGTTTTCCCCATGGGCTTTCTTCAGCTCCAAATCACCTGCTTTGTGGCTGCATCCCCATGGGAAGCTTGGAGACTTTTTCTGGCTCTAGCTGAGTGAGGATACAAATGCTCAGGCTGTGGGAGGCCTCTGAAGGCTTCCAAGATTGCAGTGGAATGTTCCAGACCTGGAGTGGTTGGAGAGTTGTCTTGCCTGCTAAACTATATTGCTTCTAAATACGTTTACTTTCCGGGGCTGGAGCAATAGCACAGCAGGTCGGGCATTTGCCTTGCACGCAGACGACCCAGGTTCGATTCCCAGCATCCCATAGGGTCTCCCGAGCACTGCCAGGAGTGATTCCTGAGTGCATGACCCAAAAAAGCAAAAAAAAAAAAATACGTTTACTTTCCATCCAGATACAGGATAAATGGGATTCCTCTCCATTTTAGGATTATTCAAGTGGCCAAGCATGTCATCTTTTCAAAAGAGTAAAAGTATGATTGATTTTTTTCTTTCTTTTTCTTTTTAACACATGTGTTAGCAGTTTTTTTTTTTTTTTTGGGTCCAGCTTCCAAAGCAAAGCACCCTTGATTTTTGCTTGCTTGTTGTTGTTTTGGGGCGATATCCAATGGTCACGCCTGGCTTCGCACTCAGGAATTACTCATGGGATGCTGGGGATGCAGGGAACCTTGGTCCGCTGCATGCAAGGTAAATACCTCTGTACCATCTTTCCAGCCCCAGCAAAGCACTTTGGAGAAACTGCTAGAGACTTTCAGCTGAAAACGCTACAGAATGTTTAAAAGATCTGCCATTGAAGCAAGAATATTAAAGAACCCCCTCTGGTGTTGTGTTGTGGTATTGCAAAATGTACTGATCCTTCAGTTGCACAATATGTCATCAGCATCTTCATTATACACTCAACATTTTATGAAGGAGCTGGGGCAGTTCTTCATTGTCATTCTCAGGGGCACATCTGGCAGTGCACAGGGACCGTGCAGCTGCTGGAGAACCCAGGGACTCACATATACAAGGCAAGTGCTCTGCCATGGAAGCCACACCTAAGCCCTTTGTACTCAATTAATTACAAAACAGCTAGTTTTGCGGAGTAAATCATTTTGTGCCTCAATGCAACTTGCCTTTAAGAGGAATTAAAAGCGAACTGAAGGTCTTTCTTTTTTGGGGGGTGGGTGGGGTCATACCTAGCGTTGTGCAGGTTACTCCTGGCCCTGCACTTGGAAACTACTTCGGGCAGTGCTCAGGGGACCATATGGGATGCTGGAGATCGAACCCGGGACAGCCATGAGCAAGACAGCCTTGAGCAAGAACCTGCCCCTCAGGTTCTTGAATTACTTCTTGTTTAGAAAACAAGAAAGGTAACGCAGGGCCTCACACATGCAAGCCAAGTGCTATATTTTTGAGCTGCATTCCCGCCACTGCCCCCTTGAGTTATTTCTACAGATTACTCCGACATCTATTGAGGGTGCATATCTGGTAGTTCTCAGGGCTGCCCTTGACTCAGGGGACCAGAACAGATTTTTTTTTCTTTTTGGGTCACACCCGGTGATGCACAGGGGTTACTCCTGGCTCAGGCACTCAGGAATTACTCCTGGTGGTGCTTGGGGGACCATATGGGATTCTGGGAACCAAATCCAGGTCGGCTGCGTGCAAGGCAAACGCCCTACCCGCTGTGCTATCACTCCTGATGCCAGGTGTATTGTTTGCAAGGCAAGCATCTTAACTGCTCAACCATCTCTCAGGTCCCTGCTTTGAATCTACTCAGAGGTCATTCTTAGAGAAGTCTTTCATAACTGTCTTATTTAAAAGATACTCCAGGGCTGCAGAGGGGAAGGCACTTGGCTTTCACATGGCCAATTGGTCCCCTGAGCACCTCCAGGAGTGAGCCAGGCGTAAGCCCGGAGCACCGCTGGCTGTGGCCCAATCCTGCCCCAGCTCCAACAAGTTACTCTAGGTCTTGGAAAGCTGCTCGGTGGGTAGAGTGCATTCCTGGCACTATTCTGTTATTTTCCCAGGGCACAGGAAACCACGTGGGGAAGAGATACAGACAGACCAGAGAAATGGGGAGGGAGAGGGAGGGGAGGGGGGAGAGAGAGACACACACACACACACACACACACTAAGGTACTTGCTTCGCATTCAGTTGACTCTCCAAACCCTGGCACCACCTGTGGTCCCGCACTGCCAGGAATACCCCTGAACACACACATTTGGGTGTGTCCCCCAACCCACCCACCTTCCACCCAGAGAGAAAGAAAAATAAATGATCCCGGGCAAAGGAGAAAGATGTGCATATTATCCTGAGTATTTTATTTTTGACTGCTGTAGCTGCTTCCACCAGAACACGGGTATTTTTATTATTTATCAACTTATTTTGTTTTGAGAGGACACCTGGCTGTGCTCAGAGATAGCCCTGGCAGCTCTATGGGCTGCTGAGGATCGACCCAGGGTAGGCCCGTTGCAAGGCGAACGCCCTTCCCGCGGTCCTGCCGCTCGGGCCCAACACGTCTTTTGACCTGAAATTCGTTTAGATCCCCAAGCTGAAAGCAGGGTCTTACAGATAGAAAACACTCAAACCTACGTGCAGCTCAGTCCAGAGCCAGGCCTAATGCCAAGCAACTGCAGATTTCGTTTGTTTGCTCTAATCACGCGAAAACACAGTTGCGTTTTTCACAACTCTGCTTTTCGGAGACGTGCAAGAACCGATGAAGCTCGGGGTGCGCTCGAGGCAGCCACTCGCCTCGGTGCAAAGCCTGTGACAACACGGCTTTGGCGCGACAGTCCCGCGGGCGTCTACCTGGCGACGCGGCCGCCCCGGGTTCGACCCCCGGCATCTCGCAGGGTCCCCCGAGCACCGCCAGGAGTGATTCTTGAGCGCAGGGCCAGGAGTCGCCCCCGAGCATCGCGAGTGTGACCCCGCCCCACAAAAGCAAATAAATACATTAATTAAAAAAAAAAAAAGAGGCTGAACCGAGAGTACAGCGGGGGGAGGGCTCCTGCCTCGCAAGCGGCCGACCCCCCGGGTTCGATCCCCGGCCTCCCATGTGGGCCCCGAGCACCGCCAGGAGTGATTCCTGAGTGCAGAGCCAGGGTAACCCCTGTGCATCGCCGGGTGTGGCCCCCCAAAGAACAAAACCCTCCGACAGCTCCGCGGCGGCGCCGGGCGGCCGGAAGTGGCGGCGGCCGTCGCGCGCGTGACGTCAGGGCGGCGCCGGCGGCGAGGGGCGGGGGAGGAGGCGGAGGCGGAGCCAGCCGGGCCCGGGGGGCGGCCGCACAGTGTCCGGGAGCCCCACAGGCCTGGAGGGGGTCTGCGCGCGGCCGGCCGGCTCTGCGCCCCCACGTCGGGTCCCGAGCGGGCCTCCGTCGGGCCAGCCCGATGTGAGCGGGCCCCGCGGCGCTGAGCGAGGAGCGGGCCCGCCGCGGAGCCGGAGGGCGGGAGGAACATGACATCGCGGAGGTGAGGAGCCCCGAGGGGCCCGGCCGGGCCTCGGCCCGCGCCCCGCCCTGCCCGGGAGGGGGCGCCGCGGCCGGCCGGGCCCCGCCGGGAGGGCCCCCCGCGGCCCCGCGCCCCCGCGCCGCCCCCCATTCATTTCCTGCCGCCGCCAGTTCCGGCTCCCGCCCGCCCGGGATGCGCGGCCCGGCGGGCGCAGGTAGAGGCGCGGGGCGGCCGGCGGGGGCCGCGCGCGCGCCGCATTCCTGACCCATTGCCTCATGAGAAAGGCCGCCCGCCGGCTCCGAAATAGCCCGGGCCGCGGCGGGAGCGGCCGGCCGCGAGCCCCGACCCCCGCCCGCCGCCCGCCGCCGCCTCGCCCGACCCCGCCGCGCCTCGCCCCCCGCCCGCGCCCCCCGCCGCCGCGCCTTCTCCCCGCCCGCCGGCCTTCACGTGCCAGACGTGGAAAAACTGACGGGCCCGGCAGCCCTCAGAACCGTTTCCTTCCTCCGCCGTCTTGCTTCGGGCCGTGGGAGCCGGGGGGGCCGTTGTCTCGGGGCCCGCCGCCACCTGGAGAGGCAGGTAACGTCGGGTCGGCCCCCGCTCTCGGCGCGAAGGGCCGGACGTCGGCACAGGCCCGGGCAGAAGTGCTCCCGAGAGCAGGCGTGTCGGCGAGCGGTGCCTGTCCTGCCCAGCACGGGGCACCCGCCTCCCGGCCCCCCGGGGTAGCGGCGATCCCCCCCCCCACCCCTTTGCAAAGGTGAGCAGACTGACTCAGATTGGGCAACGCGGCCCAGGGTTGCCTAACTGACCTTAGTGGTGGAGCCGGAATCCCCGCTGCCAATCGCCGCGTTGCTGTTACTCATGTCTAACGACGGCCCGGCACCTGCCAGCCTCAGTTTTGTCATTGGCTCGTAGCGTGCCCTGTTGTTCCCAGAATGATCCTTGCCCCTCTGCATCTGCTGTCCACACCTGAGACCCATCGTGAAACCTTTTCCGTGGTTGTCCTTTCGCAGGCACTGTCTGAGCCATGTGATGGGTTATTCCCAACTGGTGGCGGTAGGTGAACTGGGAGACGTTGCAGACTCTTCCGAATGTCTTCTTAAAACACACCTGCACGCTATTCACGCGTGCATCTGGGACCAAAAGACAGAGGGGAATGAGGGCTGCAAGCCCTTAGGAAGCGGGTGACTTGGACAGGGCCCTTGGCAAGTGCTTTGCAGAGCTGAGTAATAAATATATAACTGCATTTCCACGGGGCTGTGCAGAGCTTCAACCGTTGTAACTCTTGAGGGAGCCTTTTAGTAAAACAGTTGTCTGTTCTTTCATCTGTCAAATAGTCATTGAACCTTTTGTTCCTGTGTCTGCTTCTCCAGACAAGAAAGGATCTGCTTCATGAGGGGAGGGGGGAGGGAGGGGCGGGGTGGCAATAGACGGACGGACACGGTCCAGCTTCTTAGTGTAGAAGCAGGGGCGGGTGGGGATAGCCAAGGCCACAAGTGGAAGGGGTGACGGTTTGGACTGGAGCGGTTCCCTGGCTTCTTCTGGGCTCTCTTACTCAAGAAATGGGCGTCATCTCAGAAGTCAGGTTCTGGAGGCCCCGGGAGAGCTCAGGGCAGACATGCGTCCCCACACCGTGATCCCTGGCACTGTCCCGCATGCCAAGTACCGTCTCAGTGGCACTTCCGAGATCCCCAGAGCCACAACTGAATGGGATCCCTGGTCACTGCAACAAGAAGAGTGAAGGGGAGTGGGAATTGGAGAGTCAGACTGTGAACCCCACATAATTGGGGTTCTTTGTTTTTTCGTGGTTCTGGGAATTGTACCCAGTTTCGTGCATGCGCGTGCATCTTAGCTCTCGGCCACATCCCCAGCCCAGGATTTTTTATTTTACTTTTTGTTGGGGGATCATACCCACTGGTGCTCAGGGGCTCTTCCTGGCTGTGCCGTTAACCAAACCTGCACAGTCCTTTGAGCCATCTCCCTGGAGTTATTTTATTAATAATAATAATTTTATTATTATTATTATCATTATTACTACTTTCGTCCACAGCTGGTTGTGTCCAGAGGTTACTCCTGATTCTGTGCTCAGAGGATCACTCCTGGCATGGGGTGCCAGGGATTGAACCCAGGTTGGCTGCATGCAAGACAACCGTCCTGCTGCTGTACTATCATTCTGGGCTCTCCAGGGATTGTTTTCTTCTTATTTTTCAGATTGTAGGTCTGCTTTGTTGCTTTCTGGGCTTGGGGGTGGGAGTTGGGACACACCCAGCAGTGCTCAGGGCTTACCCCTGGCTCTGTGCTCAGTGGTCACTCCTGGCAGGGCTCGGGGGACCATCATATGTGTGCAGAGGATGGACGGAGGTCAGCTGTGTGCATGGCTAGTGCCTTTACCCCTGTGCTATCTCTCCAGCCTATAACTGTAGGTGTTTTTTTGTTTTCTTTTTTTGTTGTTTTTTTTTTTGCTTTTTGGGTCACACCTGGCAATGCACAGGGGTTACTCCTGGCTCTGCACGCAGGAATTACTCCTGGCGGTGCTCAGGGGACCCTATGGGATGCTGGAATAGAACCCGGGTTGACTGCGTGCAAGGCAAACGCCCTACCCGCTGTGCTATCGCTCCGGCCCCCAACTGTAGGTTATTTGTTGCATGTCATTTATATCTCAGTAAAGCTGCTTAAAAATAAAGCAGGGACCCTGATGCCCTGGAACCATGTGGTACCAGGTATCAACTGGTCAGCTGTGCTATGCTTGTCTCCCACCCCTTGCAAACCCCCCCCACCTTGTTTTGTGTTTTTTTGTTTGTTTAAGTGTTTGGTTTTTGGCTTACACACAGCAGTGCTCAGGGCTTACTCCTGGTTCAGTGCTCGGGATCACTGCTAGTGGGAGATCATACATATGTGGTGCAGGGATCAGTGTGCAGGTCCAGTGCCCTACCCACTGTACTATCTGGCCTACCCCTGGGCTATCTTTCTACGCCCTGCTGAATTTTGTTCTGCTGTTTTAGTGACCGTGTTGTGGTACCTCATTGTAGTTTCCATTTTTTTTCTTCTTATGATCAATAATGGGATCTTCTTGTTTGTATCTCCTACATTCTATTTGATCAAATAATTTCCTCACCTCATTTCTTTGCATCTTCTTATTCTTTTTTTCTGAGAGATCTGTGCTTGGTACACAATTCCTTTATCAAAATCACAAACATTGGGGATTGGAGTGATAGCCCAGTGGGTAGGGCTTTGCCTTGCATGTGGCTGACCTGGATTCGATCCCTGATTTCCCATATTGTCCCCTGAGCACTGCCAGGAGTAATTCCTGAGAGCAGAGCTGGGAGTAATCCCAGAGCATTGCCCTGGGCGTGACCCAAAAAGCCAACAAAACAGAAGAAAACCACAAACATCTTTTCCTTTTTGTCTCTGACTTTTCTTTTTTCTTCTCACCAGAAGAAGGGGGGACGGTGTTCGCCCAAGCAGGGCTCCGGGACATTCCAGGCCGTGTTTGGGTCCAGTACTGCCCAGAGCCAGTGGTGTTAGGGCCCCCTGGTCCACCCTGGTGACACTTGGGAGACCATCTGGTGCTGGGAATCAAAATAGGGCCTCTTAATGCCCTCCAGCGCTCCCGTTGATCTTCCCTCCGCCTCCTCTATGAAGTCCCCTCCCCTCCCATGCTCTGGGGCTCCTCCTGGCTTAGCCACCCAGGGGGTCACTCCTGGTGGTGGTCACTCCGGGGAACATGCAGTGCTTGGGACCCCCCAGGCCTCCTTTCTAGCACGTATGTGCTCACACAGGCCATTAAGTCTTCTCGCAGGCATGTTGTTCATTTCTGGTTTTGGGGACCTGCTCTGCTCAGGACACCGACCGTGATGCTGAGATTTGAACCGAAGGCAGCTACCTGCAAGGCAGGTGCAATCTCTGCTGTCTCTATGGCCAAATTTCATATTTCACTGCCTAAACATTGCAGATTTGACGCCCATCTCTTTTTCTTTGCTTTTTTTCTTTTTGTAAAGCAAATAGTATTGAAAAATTTGTTTGTTTGATTTTGAGCCACACCAGATGGTGCTCAGGGCTTACTCCTGGAGGGACGCAGAGTATACCATATGAGATGCTGGGATCAAACCCCGGTCAGCCGCGTGCAGGGCAAGCGCCCGACACACTGTACTATCTCTCTAGCCCCGAAATAGTTTTATTTAAGGAAATGAAATTAGAGAAATGTGAAGGGAGAGAAAGAGAGATAAAAATGTATTCAAGACAGAACACGAGCTTCTTGAGAAGGGAGAAAAGCCTTGAGGCCCATTAAAACATTTTTTATATCTTTTTTTGGGGGATCAAAAATGAGATGCAATCAATATGTGAAACTTTTTTTTTTTGGACCTGACAGTGCTTAGGGGGCTACTTCCGATTCCTTGCCTGGTGGGGGGGGGGAGTCCCTTTGGTAGGAGGTTGGCAGTGCTCAGGCAGTGAGCTTGCAGTGCTGGGAATTGAAAGGGACCCGGCCATGTGTATAGCATGAACTCTATCCATTGAGCTATTTGTCTTGCTCTGTAAAGCCTTTCTTTTTTTTTTCTTTTTTTTGCTTTTTGGGCCACACCCAGCGATGCATAGGGATTACTCCTGACTCTGCACTCAGGAATTACTCCTGGTGGTGCTGGGAGGGACCCTGTGGGATGCCGGAGCTCAAACCTGGGTTGGCTGAGAAGCAAGGCAAAGTCCCTCCCTGCTGGACTATTGCTCTGGCCCCGCCTGTGAATCTTTGAAGACAGGTCATCAGTTCTTGGATGGAAAAAGTCAGGTGTGATGATTAGCGCAGTACAACAGGATAGGTCCTGAAATCAGATACTCTCTTTGTTCTTTTCAAATCCTGTTCAGGATTCGGGGGGACAGCTGAGTTGGAGTCCTGGGTCTGATCCCTGCACTTCACTGGGTGTGGCCCCCAAGCAAACAAAAAAAATTATTTTTAGCCTCGATATTCATACAGCAAGGAGTTATGAATCAGGCGAGATGAAAGAGTAAGTTAGGAAAACATTGCTGCCTTC